TCACATGAATTACCTAGATACCGTTCATCTCCATAAGCACATATAGAGAAATGTAGCTTACAGGATAGCTATAAGTCTTGATTTCAGTATTCTACAGATGGCCCACGTGCTTGCAAAATGACAGCAAGATGCGAATTAGGAAAACTAGAAGGAACTAGATCTGTCCTGATTGCTGCCTTCTCAAGTGACATAATATAATAACCTGATAATAATATGATACCGTATTGTGTACCACATTTTAATCTCCAGTTATCCCAAAATTGCTGCGTATAGAATAGACTTTTATAAACATTGGCTCGATTTTGTCCTTTTTATTCACTTCACAGTGTGTTCCATTATATTTGTAAATATGAGACTACAATTACAAGGAGCTGTGACTGTTGATATTCAGATAATAGCTAACATGCCATTGAATGTTTTCTACACGCCAGACACTGTCCTAAGTGTTATGTGTTATGTGATTTAATTTTCAAAAAACTTTAGGAGGTAGATAAAACTGTTACTCCCAAGTAAGCCCAGAGGTGTAAGTTAACTTGCCCCAGTTCACACAATTGGAAAGCGGTGGGAGTGGGCTTTAACACAGGCACCCTGTCCCAAGATCCTGAACTCTTCTAACTTACTATATTTTATTTTTCTTGATTATTTTTCCTAAAAGCCCATACAGATCAGTTATAATTATTTGTGTGTATTAAAATATAGCATTATGGGGCGCCTGGGTGGCTCAGTTGGTTAAGCGACTGCCTTCGGCTCAGGTCATGATCCTGGAGTCCTGGGATCGAGTCCCACATCGGGCTCCCTGCTCAGCGGGGAGTCTGCTTCTCCCTCTGACCCTCTTCCCTCTCATGCTCTCTCTCTCTCTGCCATTCTCTCTCTCAAATAAATAAAAAAAAATCTTTAAAAAAAATAAAATATAGCATTATGTCTTCTTAATACTGTTTGATATCAAAGCTATGTTTAAAAGTATATGAAATTGCCATTATTAAACCATTTTGACCTACAAAAATGGCTATTTCATATGGTTCAAGCTAATGATATATTTGAAAAAGCAGCCTGCCCCCAAACTTTAATTCCATTTACTATGCTTACAAAACTCTTGGTTTAAAATCTTTCTCCCCCATTTTTAACCACCAGACTCTTTTTAACTGGCTCTCCCAGGAATGAGACATATTAGTAGGAACTGGAAAGACCATCAATTTTCTCACCATGTAGACCTGGGTTCTACATATTATTGGCCAAGATCCTCTTGAAATCTTATTTTTGACAAAATGGGGTAGATAATACCTCTCATATTTAGTGAAGACTGAAGTAACAAAAGATTCCAATGCCTTGCACATTTACTTGGCATATGGTATGCTTTCAATAATAAATATCCTCATTATCCCTAAAAGAGTTCAACTTAATCCTGCTTAGCATTTTCCTTCTATCAGCTAAGGTAAATATTTCTACATATTGAAATTATCATTATTTTCTTAATATATTTTGTAGTTAAAATCTTTAAACAAATCAATCATTGACTAAAGGTGTTTTCTTTTTACAAAATTCAAACGAACTACCTCTCTGTAATCCAGTCATATTGAGTACCCTGCACTTTGCTTCCAGTGTACTTCAGTGACTGAATAACCTTGGTGAACATAATTGAAATGAAAATGTAATATTAATTTCTTAAAACATGACAAAATTATCTTTGAGTACTTTTGGCTTAGTCTTTTTTTGTTTGTTTTTACTTAAATTCTAGTTAGTTAACATACAGTGTTACTATAGTAACATAGCTTCTTAAAACATGACGAAATTATCTTTGAGTGATTTTGGCTTAGTCTTTTTTGCTTGTTTTTATTTTAATTCTAGTTAGTTGACATATAGTGTAATATTGGTTTCAGTAGAATTTAATGATTCCATCATTTATATATAATGTAACATTTTTGATTATTTTTGCTTTATTTTTCTCTTTAAGTATATGATACGTTATACATATATCTGTATATGTATATATAAAACTGCACGTATCCTAAGTATACAGCTTGATGAATTTTCACAAACTGAACCAATACTCGGTCCCAGATCAAGAAACAGAATATAACCATTATTGCAGAAGCCCACCGGTGTACCCCTTCAAACTTTACCCCTCCTTCCTTACCAAGAATAGCCGGTATCCTGACTTCTAATATTACTATAGACTAGTTTTCCTTTTTAAAAAACTTTTGTACAAACAGAATTATAGAATCGCATACTAATATTTTTTTGTGGTTGGCTTCTTTCACTCGACATAGTCATGAGATTCATCCACGCTGTTGCCTGTAGGTGTTCTTCATTCATTCTCATAGTTGTATAGAGTTCCACTGTGTGACTAGACTATAATTTATCCAGGCTACTGTCAATTTCCCTTTAGATTTTTTATAAATTACAGAGGGTCTCAAAAATAATAATAAAAATTAAAAAAATAAATTACGGAGAGTCTCTGGTTGATTTACTATAGGTGTAAAGAGGCTAAAACATAAACTTTTAACAATGAAATATCTAGATCCTTCTCTTTTAATTCAAGGATATTAATTTGAAATGTACAGTATAATGATTCAATAATGCTCTGCATGACTCAGTGCTTATCACAGTAAGTGTCCTCTGAAGCCCCCTTACCTATTTCAGCCATCCCCCCACCCACCTCCTCTCTGGCAACCACCACTTTGTTCTCTGTATTTGAGTCTTTTTTTTTTAATTTCTCTTCTCACCTTTGTTTTCTTTCTTAACTACCACATATGAGTGAAATCATATGGTCTTTGTCCTTCTCTGACTGACTTCTTTCACTTAGCATTATACCCTCCCAGCCATGTTGTTGCACATGGCAAAATCTCATTTTTTATACGGCTGGGTGACATTCCATTATATATATCTTCTTTATCCTTTCATCTATCAATGGACTCTTGGGTTGCTTCTATATCTTGGTTATTGATAATGAAAGCACTGGAAGACTATATGCTACAAAAACATAGGGGTGCACATATCTTTTCAAGTTAGCATTTTCGGGTTTGGGGGGCAAATACCTAGTAGGAAAATTACTGGATGATATGGTAATTCTATTTTTAATTTTTCGAGGAACCTCCATTCTGTTCTCCACAGTGGCTGTACCAATTTGCATTCCCACCAACAGTGCATAAGGTTCCTTTTTCTCCACATGCTTGCCAACACTCATTATTTCTTGTCTTTTTGATGTTAACCATTCTGACAGAAGTGAGGTGATATCGCACTCTAGTTTTGATTTGCATTTCCCTGATGATGAGGGATGTTGAGCCTCTTTTCATGTGTCTGTTGGCCAGGTCTAATGTCAATTCAGGTCCTCTGCCCCTTTTTAATTGGATTACTTGATTTGAGTGTTGAGTTGTAAAAGTTCTTTATTTTGAGTATTAACCCCTTATCTGATATATCATTTGCAAATACCTTCCCCCATTTGGTAGGTTGCTGTGTCGTTTTGTTGATGATTACCTTCACTGTGCAGAGGCTTTTTATTTTGGTATAGTCCCAATACTTTATTTTTGCTTTTGTTTCCCTGCCTGAGGAGACATATCTAGAAAAATGTTGGTAGGCCAGTGTTAAAGAAATTACTATGTTTTCTTCTAGGAGTTTTATGGTTTTAGGTCTCACATTTAGGTCTTTTTAAAAATCCATTTAGAGTTTATTTTTGTGCATAGTTTAAGAAAGTGATCCAGTTTCATTCTTTTGCAGGTAGCTGTCCGATTTTCCCAGCACCATTTGTTGGACTCTAGATTCCTTTCTTAATGGAATTCAACAGATATTTATTCATTATTTACTGAGTACAAAACATACTGATGGGCACGTCAGGGATTGTAAAGAAAGGATAATATTTCTAGTGGCTTAGATTCTAATGGGAGGAGGCTTTAGATAATATAGGGTTTTATAACTTCAGGCAACTTTTCATAAATACCTGTGGGGGATGAAGCTAGGTTGTACATGGTTGTGCACAGGAAGGAGAAAAGGTGAATAAAAGAAACAGTTGATAGGTCTTCAAGAACATGTTAACATATTTTATTAAAATCATCTTAAAAGGAAAATATCATTAAAATTTGAATACTTCAAATTTGAAGGGCAATTCAAGAAATAATATTGCTTCTAATACATAAAACTACTAAGTTAAAAAGTCCTTCAAAATATGATTAGTATTACAAGTCAACAATCTTCTTGTGAATGTATACTATCTGATACCTAAGTCACTGAGGTTAATCCAGCCAAAAATAATGTTGCATAGAAAGTACTGTTTTTTTACTCAAAGTCAATAGTAAAAAATATAAAATATTACTTTAAAATAAAGTATACCATAAAATACAGTTAATATATTATTTCTAAAAAGCAACTGAATAACTCCTAATATTTTTTCTGTGATTCCCCCATCATTTTATATACTGTACAGTAGCTCAACACATATGTCTGTCTATAAATACCTGTATTATATTACTCGAAAATGCCAAGTCGTTAATTCTTCAAACAATGGTTGGATATCAACCACATGAAAATCACTATGCTAGGAACCCAACACACAAAGATGACTGACACTGGGTACTTGCCTTCAAGTAGCTTTAGTGGGAAGACAGACTAAAATAATTAAAATAGAGTATGGTCCCTGTCTCATGACACCAGTATGCACACAGGGATGGTGAGGGTACAGAAAAGGGACAGCTAGATCAGATCGGAGAGCAGGGGGGAAATCAAGGCACACTCCACGGAGAAGGTGACTCCTGAATGAAGTCAGAGACTTAAAGGATACATGGCATGTAGTACTTTGGGCAATGTGGAGAAGGCAGATACTCCAGAGGGCATGAGTGGAAGAGACAAGGTTGGGTGCAGCCCAGGATAGTTGGAACTCTGATGCTTTTTGGTATTTATGCCAACGTGTAGCCAGGGGCCTGCCTTTGTGCAGCTCTCCCCATTGTTATTTTTAAAATACGAATCTATTTTTTATTCAGTATAATCAATCTATAGCTAAAAGTATTTTATTATTTTGTCACTGAGTCTTCTGGTATTCCAGCTTCTGTTAGCATTTCAAAGAAAAGTCCTTTCTGGCATATCAAATTCTGTGGTGTTTCAAATTCTGTAATCCTTCCAGAGTCTAGAACAAGTACCCTGCAATGTGAAAAGAATCCAGTCAGGTAACCTTAATCAGTTTTCCGGTTTACCCTTGTTTTTCTTGCTAATGTAAAATGTAAATTACCATGTGAGTTATGTCACTACAAAACATGGGTACTACTGAACTCAAGAAGTATATCCAGTTTTGTTTTGTTTTTTTTTTAAAGATTTTATTTATTTATTTATTTGAGCAAGAGAGAGTGAGAAACAGCATGAGATGGGGAGAGGGTCAGAGGGAGAAGCAGGCTCCCCACCGAACGGGAGCCCGATGCGGGACTCGATCCCAGGACTCCAGGATCATGACCTGAGCCGAAGGCAGTAGCCCAACCAACTGAGCCACCCAGGCGCCCCTCCAGTTTTCTAATATTCTTTTAGCATTAACATATTCTTCTAATTGTTTGGAAAATATGTTTCCTACTATTAAGGAAAATTTTGTATCAGTACGGATACAATCCTTTATTAGTGGCAATTAGTTGTTTGGTATATTCAGTGGCTATCTCTGTGGAGATTTATAGGTATGTTTTGTTTCTGAAAACAAATAAAGCATACCTATCTGAATCAATGATAGAGCGCAGTCTATGAGCAATCGTCAGGATGGTACAGTCGGAGAACTCTTTCCTGATTGTGGTCTGCACCAAGTTATCAGTCTCAAAATCAATGGAAGCTGTTGCCTCATCCAAGATGAGAATTTTTGTTTTTCGAAGCAAAGCACGAGCAAGACAGACAAGCTGCCTTTGTCCAACGCTGTTAAAAAAAAAAAAAAAATAGTAAAATAATTTCTACAGTGGACTTTATGGTTACACACTTCCTGTTCTAAAATTCTGATTATATCACTACTCACTCTCTTTCTAAGTCACACATTCATTCATTCTTTTGTTCAAGAAATACTTATTTTGTCAAAAGAGGCAAAAATCTCTACGTGGAGTTTACATTCTCGTGGGAAGACAGAAAAAAATAAATATGATACATGGGTAAAATGCATCGTAATAAGAAGAATTCAAGCACACAGAAAGGGAGGGTGTAGAGTGTGGGCCTGGGGTGGACATTTTCGACGGGCCTGCCAAAGAAACCCTCACTGGACTGAGGCCGTTGCCTTTTAATTCAAGACCCTTTGGAAGGGGAGAGTGAGCCATGCAGATTTCTAGTGGAAACTTGTTCCCGGAAAAGGGAACAGTGGGTGCAAGATCCCCTGAGGCAGGCAAGAGCTTGCCTGGCATATTCAGGAACCATCAAGGAGGCCAATGTGGCAGAAACAGACAGAGGTAAGGAGAGCAATCAGAGAGACCGAGTCATGCAGTGCGGGGCTTGAAGGGATCTAGCTCACTTTCCTTGGGTCTCTGATCATGTGAAAGGGACTGTCACCAGGTATCAAACAGCCATGAAGGAGAAAGGAGTCCCTTGTAACATTTTTAAGGAAGAAAGCTATTTGAATAGGAGTCTTTACAAAAGAAGAGTCAATTAAACAGTGACTTTCCATACCGGATCATTTCCTTTCTTCTCCCTTCTTTCCTTCACCAGAGGTTTCCCGGCCAGTGGTTACCATTATATTCCTCGTCCCTTTTCCCTAGAGGGAATCAGCAATCGTGTGCTTTGAACAGACCAAAAGAGGTCCTGGGTGACTCAGGAGGAGTGACTTACCTTTGAGGCTAACTCAAAGTTTCTAAGGAGCCTTGAAATGAGTAACTTGGCCAAGCTTTGTTCTCAGCAGCTTACCTGAGGTTTTCACCTCCCTCTGTAATCTCATGCAGCAGCTTCTTGGGAAGGGACTGCACAAACTCTTTTAAGTGACACAGTTCTAGCACCTCCCACAGCTCGCTATCGGAATACTTGTCTAGGGGATCCAGGTTCATTTGAAGGGTACCAGAAAATAAAACAGGATCCTAGAGAATAAAATTGTCACCAGTAATCTTACTGTCCCATGAGGCACAAATACATTTTTAAAAAATCAGATTCAGAAAACAAAAAGCAAAACAATCAAAACTAAATAGTTATAAAATTCACTTTATACTGAAAACAAAAGCAGAAAAGAATCAGGATAACCTATAAGTGAGATTAAATCATTATAAATTTCCTGATCATCTTTCTCCTTCTCATTAACAATGTCAACATCAGCCACAGTAATAATGATGACGACAGCTGCCATAGCTGCCATTTAGTCAGAGATAGAACATAGAACAGAATAAATGCAAACTATAGTATGTATATAATATTATCGATCAGCATACCAACTCAGAAAGATGGAAGTCAATATCCCCATTTTATAGAGACTGAACTGGTGGGTCCAAAGAGCTCTTGTTCAAAGCCACACAGAAGGTGAGTGGTGGAGTAGAATTTGAATAGGACAAGTCACACTCTTTCCAATATACCAACATGCCTGGTGAAACTGTAGTTTACTACACCTGTATTTATTTCTAAGAGAGGAATGACTAATACCTCTTTTCTTCATTAAATTTTTTTCTCTGCCAGAATTCCATTCAAATTTGCTTTTGAAGTAAATTCATGAATACGAGTATATGTCTAAACAGTATGAAAAAGAGATTATATTTTAAGATTTTTTTTCAATGTAAATACAAAGGTATCTCATAAATACTCAGCTTAAATCTCTCAAACTCAACTGAATAAGTCATCTTTGACTGTAGATGCCTATTCTTGAGCCAATTTGCGTATTTGTTAATGATCAAGTTCTTTTGATGCCATAGACAAATCAAAGGACTTGAAAAAAATGATCTCACTGAATTATTGTTCTTTTCATCTTTTAAAATGTTTTCAAATTTCAAATCAAAGAGACAAAATTCTACACTCCCTCTACCAATTAGGCAAAAGCCTCAGTATTTTTTTTCTTTCAAAAAATACCACCGCATTTCAGTCTGATCTCTTCATTCAAATTTTGTTTGCATTTACTATTATGAAGGAAACTTAAAGCAACATACCAGTTTTTCAAATGGATAAATGCATTTAGGAAGAATGTTTTAGAGTAAGAGTATTTAATAGGATTCAGTTATGTAGTGATTTTTCATTACACATTCAAATGCTCTGGCTTCTAGAAATGAATTTAGATGCTTGGAAGGAACACATTTAAAAAAAAAGAAGAAAAAAAAAAGAAGATCACCTAAAGGGACTTAAGAGAGTTTACTGACAAAATAGGCTCTACCTGTGGAATAATATTAAGTTTGCCCCGAAGGTCATGAAGTCCAATAGTGGATATGTCAATACCATCGATAATAATTTTGCCTCCTGATCTTTCCACAATTCTAAACAGACAATTTGAAAGCGTTGATTTGCCTGCTCCAGTCCGTCCCACAATTCCAATCTGTAACGAAATGATCATAAACAGTTTGCACTGTGCTTTTGGTAAGGGACTGGGACCTTTGCACTGACAACAAATACATTAGGTGTCGGGTCAGCGGGATTTAATTTTGCCAAACAGAATCACCCTGCCTGGCATGGAAGACGTAATGTTGACTTCTAAGGATCAGTCTTTATCCAAATACTCATTACTCCCTGGAAAGGCTCAGGTTAATATGTTTCTTTTCTGTACTTTTGAGTAATTTAATGAGCACCTGACTAGAGCATGCCAACAGCCCCAGGAAGAGCAGACCACCCCTGAACCTGGGACGAGCTATTCAGAGTGCGGCCAAAGATGACTCTGATAATTGGGTGGTTTTCTTGGGCCTTTCAAAATGAGGCTTCTCTACTCTCCTTCTCCAAATAAAACAAACTAACAAACAAAGGGGAGAGGAACCCTTTGCCAGGATAGAAAATCCAAAGGGATGTTTGTAAATTTCCTTGGTGTATCAAAATAACTCTGCCATTACAACTATTGAGGATGGCTATGGGTAACATCTGAGGATCTTAGATTCATGGACAAAATAATCAACTTGTCATAAACATCAAGTGACCGCACATATTCCTCTGACCATGAGGACTAAAGCAATCCCTCTGGGTGTTGATTTGTGTCTTGGTTTTAATGGGAACATTAGGCAGAGAAAACATTAAGGAGGTTGGTTTTCCCTGATAAAAGATCTTAAATCTTAAATCTGACACACTATACCAGAAACATCAGGAATCTGTTGAGTTAACTGGGATAATCAAAATTCCACAATGACTTCCTTTGTTCCAAAGACATTTTTTATCCTTGATGTTACCGCAGTGGACATGGTTTAAAGGGTTAGAAAAAGAGATGTTTGGGGTTATAAAAGCCAGGTCTTTGAAAAAGGAAAAGTGGGTCACTGTTGTCAATTTTTTTCTTCATTTTTTACTTTTATTTACTTGTAAAATCTTCCTAAGGAAATAATGTGTTTTCATAAAACATTTTGAAAAATGTGAGAAAAACTATAGTAGTGGAAATTATTTATAATCCCGTCACCTGAAGAGAACCACGATATATGCTTTACTACTGTTCTTCTAGGATTTTTGCTAATGTAGTCTACCTGTTTGCTTTTTTCTAAAACAGAAAACTGATATACTATCAACAGTTTTGTATATAGCTTTTATTAACCAAATTACATCTCAAGTATATCCCCTTCTCACTAATAATCCTGGAAAACATGGTGTCAATGACTACACAAATATTCTCTCCTATGGATTTACTGTATTTTAGGTAACTTAATTTTATTGTCTTATTGCTCTTTACTTAATAAAGGAAGTAAAAATAAAGTATACCACTACTAGGTATATATCCAAAGGAAATGAAATTAGTATCTCGAAGAGAAATCTGCACTCCCATGTTCATATTCACAATAGCCAGGATATGGAAACAACCAAAGTGTCTGTCCATAGAACGGATAATGAAAATGTGTATATATATATACACGCATACACACACACACACACACACACTGGAATAATTCAGCCATAAAAAGGATGGAAATCCAGCCACTTGTGGCAACACAGACGAACCTGGTGGACTTTATGCTAAGTGGAATAAGCCAGATGGAGAAAGACAAATACTGTACGATCTTCCTTATATTTGGAACCTAAAAAAGTGAAACTCATAGTACCACAGAGTAAACGGTGGTTATCAGGGACTGAGGGGTGGGGAGAATGGGAAGATGTTGGTCAAAGGGCATGAACTTTCAGATGAGTAAGAAGAATGTGTTCTGGCGATCTAAAGTACAGTGAGGTGACTATAGTTAATAGTATTGTATTGTATACTTGAAATTTGCTGAGATAGTAGATCTTAGGTGTTCCTACCACATCTAAAAAAAAAAAATCAAAACAAAACAAAAACAAAAAACCTTGTAACTATGTGAGGTGATGGATGTGTTAATCTGACTGTGGTATCATTTCACTATATGTATATATATGTATATATATGTGTGTGTGTCAAACCATCATGTTGTACACTTTAAATATATACAATATTTACTTGTTAATTATAACTCAATAAAGCTGAAAAACCAAAGTATGCTAAAATTATGTTTCATAATATAGTATGCACAATTTAAAAATACCTTTCTTTAAAGAGGAAAAACTTATTCTGTATATACCAACCACATGAGTTTATTACTTTTATATGAAATTAGAACAAAGACCATTTTATATTCAATACCATATCATAGTTTGACCTTAACAATGAATGAATTCAGATAAAAGGGAAAGTGAAACTTCTGAAATATATATGGTACCTTTTCTTCACCATGAGTCTGGAAAGTGATATCTTGTAATGCTAAACCAAGATCATCTCGGTATCGAGCCTGATAATTAATAAATTCCACTATCCCTTTATCAGGCCATTGTGATGGAGGTCTTTTAGACATTATCCAGGGTGCCTTAAAACAAAGAAATATAATAATCACAAAAAAATACCTTTCTCTCCAAAAAGTAATTATCATGCATATAAACAAAAGTGATAGAAAACATTCGTGGATATTATGATCTCCTGAAAATAGTTTTAAATATTACCAACATAAAACTTCTCATCTAGTTAAAGAAAAGCTTGGAAATAAGTTTTTGAAGGTAACAAGGCTTCCCATCTCCTATACAGTTATTAAGAAGAATCTTCTAAAACTCTACAAAGTTGCTGAAGGTAACCTGTTTGAAATTTTAGCTGAGATGGGGGACAGTTTGTTAATCATTCATTGCCCAAATAGGTGCTTTAGTTGATGGAGATTCATCATTGAACAAAACAGATACAAATTCTTGTCCTTAGCAGACAGGATGCCAGAGAGAGACAGAAGGAACCACATAGCATATGTAGAATGTTAGACAGTGATAAAGCTTCAGAGGATGGGAGATAGGCAAGGTTAGTGGTGGCGGTGTAATTTTAAGTAGGGTGGATAGGGAAGTCTTGGTTGGACATGATACGGGAACAAGCCATGTGGATATGGGTTGAAGCGCTTTCCAGGCAGACGACTAACTATACGTGCTGAGGTCCTGAGACGGGGGCCTGCCTGGGACGTTGGAGGAACAGGAGGCAAAAGAGTGTGGTGTCTGGGCAGCGAGGTGAAGTGTTTTCATCAGAGGGAGTGATCACCAGTGTCAGAGGATGGATCAGGTCAAGTGAGGACTGACAGGAGACCACTGGTGATCTTGACAAGGGCAGGTTCAGTGGAGTGGTAGGATTTAAAGCCTGTTTGGAGAGAGTCCAAAATAGAATGAGAGACATATAGGCTATTCCAGAAAATTCTTCTGTAAAAAGGTGCAGAGAAATGGGATTACGGAAGGGTAAACAGAATTATATGAACAATTTACTTCTTCCACGTCAAGAGTTTTTGTAACAGTATTTGTCACACCAGCATCAAATTACATAAAGATGATTTTAAAAAAAATGTGTGGGTGTATGTGCTTTACCCATTTTATTGTTTTTTCAATATGAAAAGAATATATATTAAAAATTTATACGTACATAAACAAGAAGTTTATACACAAAAATTTATACACAAAAAATTAGAAGATACAGAAAACAATGAAGTTATATAGTGGTCACCACATGGCAAGAGACTGAGCAAACTGAATACTGATAATTGGAGGTTGTGAAGGTAGATTAATCTTCCATGAAATTTGTGTGAAAAAGGAAGGTAAGACCTGGGGAAGAATCTAGGAGAAGATTCCAAATTTAAGTAGTAGTTGGAGGATGTAGATAATATTTTAGCCTATTTATAGGTTGAGAGGGGCAAGGGGGTCAGGGTCCTGAGATGTAGAAATTAAAGGAAGTGGTTAATGGAGCAAAGTCTGACAGAAGACATGAACAGATATTACCAAAAATATAAGTGGAAACTCAGGTTTCTATTTGGAGGGACACCTCTTCCTGAGAGTCATAAGCAAAAGAGGAACATTTCATGATTCAGATACCTTTATAGGTGGATTGAAGAAGATAAAGTCAAGTCAACTTTAACATTTGCCTTGTTAATTCATGGAACTGGGAGGCAGAAGTAACCCAGATTAGTAAAATATGAAGATAACTCAAATACTATACTCTGTCAATAGTCTAATCCTTCTCCTTTCTAAATTATAATTAATTAAAGGGAACAAAACAGACTGATTTATTCTTCTCCTCCTTTCCATCCACAGAGATGTTAATGATGAGTAAATGGAACAGAAAGTATAAAATAATAAAGATGTAGTTAATTTAAAAATTGCACAGACTTCAATTACGACTATACTAAGACACTTTTCACAATGTAAAATCCTCACAAAGTTATAATCTTAGGTTGCATATTTTACTCTACATTGGTGGAGGACAAATGTGCCTTCTAAAAACAGGTAATCATATTTAATCTTTACAATATAACATATCTTCCAATTTATGTACTATTGCAATTTAGTTAACTGATATTTTTTCTATTTTAGTGATATATAAAATAATGGTGTATTTAACAGTAGACTGGGTTTTAATTTCATTGAAATGCTAAATATTACAACATGAATTTGGAAAAGCAGGTTTTGTTTAAGATTTATTTTTTTAAATGTCAATTTAAGGTGCATTAAAATATCTTAATCCTGCATCTATTTATTGGTTATTTAGGAGTGCTTACCTCTTTATCCATATTTTCATATTCACAAACTCTTTCAATGGAAACTGCATTGGTTTCAATTTCACAGGCTTTCCTCACCCAAAAATTCAGAGATTGAGTAATCTGGAGGAAAAAAAACCCAACCTTCATGAATGGTTCTTTAGTCTTTTACATAATATTTGTAATACTTTATAAAGTTTCACTTTTCATGGTTTTCATATGCTTTATCTCTTCTGATTATTCAACAACTTTAGAAGTAAGCATATTTATACATAAACACACAAGTGTTTAAGTATATTAAACTCACACATATCATAAATAATGGTTTTTTTGGCAGAAGATATAGTTCAACATATGTTGAAGGAGTCCCTACTTGATGTAAGGAATGATGAATACCAATATTGATGGGATCTGCTTCAAGAAATGTACACCCCGGGGTGCCTGGGTGGTTCAGTCAGTTAAGCGTCTGTCTTAGGCTCAGGTCACGATCCTGGAGTCCCAGGATCGAGTCCCCTATCGGGCTCCCCGCTCAGCAGGGAGTCTGCTTCTCCCTCTGACCCTCCCCACTCTCGTGCTTTCTCTCTCTCACTCTCTCTCTCTCAAATAAATAAAATCTAAAACAAAAAAAGAAAGAAAGAAATGTACACCCCAAGTGAGAAAAAAGTTGTGCACAATATTACCTTTGGCATTCCTCATTATGGGAAGGAGGATTCTCCTAAGTTTTGACCACTACTGTCTCCTCTTTTTCTTTTTCTTTCTTTCTTTTTTTTTTTTAACTCTACTTTCTTCTCACCATACCCACAAATATAGATTGTAATTCAAGCCTAATTCTAAAAGTCAAAAAACTCTGCCAATTCAGTTTTTTCTCAAGTTTGGTGCCAAATCATTTGATGGCCAGCCTGACTGGAGAACTGATTGGGGTTCTTTAAAGTCTTCATTTAACCCACTTAGGGTAAACATGCACATATTTCACTGCAAAACAAGTAGTTTGATTACGGGGTTCTGCCCCAAACCTTGACTATGGTATGTGTATCATATTTCCTTTCTACAAGCCTAAGTTCTGAATTCTGAAATGCAACTGGCCTTAAGCATTTTGGATAAGAGACGAAGGGTAGGTACTCAAATCATCTAGACTTATCTTCTAAATAATGTGTAAGTATATTTAGTAGTTTAAGGAATATTCTATTTTACAAAGAGGGCATGAACACACTGATACCACTAGTGCTTTTCAGTGTAATATAAAATAGGGCTTATTAGGGAAAAACTTACAATAAGAACCACCAGAGCCTATATTGTCCCCAGAGTTGGCATCATCTCCTTGGTTAGGCTGGGCAGACTGGAAGAACAGGCCACGGTGGAGAGAGGCCCTACCACTGTTACATTCTATAAATCTATACGGATAGGAGAACAGGAAACTTCTAGGTAACTATGCAACCCCAGGAGCTTCTGAATCTTCTAGCACTCAGCCTGTTCTTTCTGTGAGCTCACTTAGAACTGCCAAGCCAGCTTCCTGCTTGTAGCAACAGAGGAAGAAATGAGCCTCCAGGGCAATCCTGATTTGTCTCTCATTACTTAGTTAATACCATATATAATTCAGACAGGCAAAGGAGAAGAGAGTTTAATTAATTGGATTATAAACATATCATATACCACAAAATCATTCTTACTTACATTTAGGGCATAGGATATGGACAAACCAACTATTGCTGAATCTATAGACTTGCCAGCGAGCACAGTAAGCACTGCAGCAAAGAATACCATTAAGTTGCCAAGGAGTTCAAGTCTAACAGACAGCCACCTGTGATAATGGAAAATACTCCTCAGCTGAGATGCAGAAGTTTTGGTGCACTTAGTATGAACTCTCCTCTGGGAAATGAAAATGTAAACATCAATAGGTGCTTCCTTTCTTTCCTCACTTACTTAGAACTCAATCAAAATAGGATCGTTGCAGTGATGATAGATTAAAGGATGCCCTCTACATAAAAACACACTTTACTTTTGCAGAGCTTCGCTTTAAAACTTAATTAGAATTAAAAATCACGAAAGAACACCAGCTAAAACGATGCGTCATATTTTAAAATCCTATTGGAAAATCAATCACCTTTCCAATTACATACCCTTTTTTACATGATAAAATGAGTCTCCAAAAGTTAAAATGTGTCCAGCTACCATTTAATATTTCATTTTTCTCCTTTATGCGAAATGATAACCTCAAACTTAAAATATAAATTATTGTATGCAAATAAAATATATTCTACAAATACAAAATATAACATAGAATCGGATTATTAGTAATTCTAATAGCATCCTATATAACCTTCAAAAACTTGGGACCTGGGGCGCCTGGGTGGCTCAGCGGGTTAAGCATCCAAATGTTGGTTTTGCCTCAGGTTATGATCTCATGGGTCATGGGATCAAGCCCCGCATCAGGCTCCATGCTCAGCGGGGAGTCTGCTTCAACATTTGCTCCTTCTGCCCCTCTCCCCACTCACTCTCTTTATCTCTCTCTCTCTCAAATAAATAAATCTTTATTTTCTCAATTTTTTAATTTTTTTTTAAGATTTTTATTTATTTATTTGAGAGAGAGAGAGAGCACAAGCAGGGGGGAGTAGCAGGCAGAGGGAGAGGGAGAAGCTGGCCCCCCAAAGAATAGGGGGAGCCCGGTGCGGAACTTGATCCCAGGACCCTGGGATCAACCAACTGAGCCACCCAGGCGCCTCAATAAATAAATTTTTAAAGAAAAAAACTTGGGACCTTATTTTCATGTAAAGTAGCAGGTACTTTTTATTTGAATATAAATAGATGCACTTTAACTTACATGTATATTAAATATTAGAAACATTTACGGTTTTCTTCTTTTTTTAAATAATTTGATGAAATGCCATTACAAAACACTCTTTCCATTTAAAAGTTAGTGCACAAGACATCTAAAAAGAGACTGGTCTTGAGCTAGGTGTACTGATATGACTTACCTGTTTGAAATTACATTATTGTAGAAACAGACCAGGTTCTCATTCACCACCTCTTTGTTTTGCTGGATGAACCTCTGTTCATGTCCAAATGCCCGGATAGTGGACACCCCTGATAAAGTCTCACTAAAGTGTGAAATGATAGGAGAGCGAGACGCTCCTGCCAACCGTCGAATCTGCCGAGAGCTCGCCACATAGTATCTCTAACCCAAAGACAGAAAGAGGCAGTTGGAAAGATGTAGGAGAAATTGCTTCAATGGTGTGAAAATGGCAAGACACTTAAGTGACCCCAAAAAGTGAAGTTCAAGTTTTCACTCCAGTACCTATGAATGTGGCCTTACGTGGAAATGGAATCTTTGCAGATGTCATTAAGGATCTCGAGATGAGATCATCCTCGATTTAGGGTGGGCCTGAAGCCAATGCTGAGTGTCCTTGTAGGAGACAGAAAAAAAGAAGACAAAGACACGGGGAGAAAGCCATGTGAAGATGAGACTGGACTAATGTGTGCATAAGCCAAGGAAAATGCCAAGGACTGCTGACAGCCACCAGAAGTTAGGAGAGAAGCATGAAACCAATGTTCCCTCAAAGGTTCCAGAAAGAACCAACCCTGCCTATACCTTGATTTTGAACTGTTAGCCTCCAGAAATGTGAAAGAATAAAATTTCTGTTGTTTTAAGCTACCAAATTTGTTACATACAGGAGCCTTAAGAAATGAATACACGCTTAGAACAGTAAAAAGTCCAAATTCTGGACAGCATAACTAGAACAGAATTGGACAAAGCTCCACTTCGATAATCCTTTCATACAACCATTATTGAGTACCTACTATAGAAGAAGCTCAATGTCACAGGTTGGAAATGTGACCAGGGAGTTAACCCATTAAATGAAGGAAGTCAACCAAGTGTACAAACAATAGTATTTTTGTACCTAAATATAATCATGAGGAAAAATTTACTTTATTTATTTTGTAACCAAAAAAAAAAAAAAAAAACCCACCAGTGCAGCCACAAATGTAATTGGCTAGTTCTCCTCTAGCTTGGTTGAGACTAGCTGGGATGAGTGGAGACTGGAGAGCTGGAGAAAGCATGCCCTGAGTTAACTGGGCCATCATTCATCAGCCCCAGATAATTGCTACAAACTGGAAATGAAAATCAAGAGTTTCCACATCTTGCAATTTTTTTCAAGAAAATCTCTGGATCTGGAGTTTTACATAAAATCCCTGATTTTAAAATGTCTTCATTTTGGTAAAAATGAGCAAGCTGAGCAAAAACCTATGTGAAACTACATGTCACCCTGCAGTTGACTCTGCTCTATGCAAGTACCCTGGAGAACACAGAGGATTGTAGCATTCTGGGACTGCAAGGGGACTTCATACCATAAAGACATTTTGGCCCTGGGCCTCACCCTGATAGATTCTTTATTTCCTCCCAGTTTTATTAGGATGTGATTAACAACAACAACAACAACAACAACAATACACACACACCTAGTAAAATGTGATTTTTTAAAAAAGAGGTACAACTAGAGACTCCGATTCAATAAGTCTGGGGTATGGCCCACAGGTCCAGGGCCCATCCTTTGAGTAGCACTGATATAAAGCAAATCTCATATTTTATAGGGGGAAGCAAGGAAGCCTGGAAACGGAAGTGATGTGTCAAGCATAGGAGTCAGGGAAGTAGAATTTGAGGCTCCTGAATTCCCATTCAGGGCTCATCCTATACAGTGTCCCCTAACAAGATATGGTTTCTGGACTCATTTCCACTCCTGGTCATCCTATTATAATTTACCCACCACAAGACTATCACATACATTTTCATTTGTGATATGAGGGTTTTTTTTTTTTTTTTAAGCAGATACAATTGATTCTCAATACCATCCCTCATATTTTAAATTTTTTTCTTTTAGCTCTAAGACATAGTGTCTTCCCTCGAGGACTTACAATCTCATTGGTGAGACAATTTGTAGTCTAAAAAAATAGCTTGTAATACTACCAGTGTGATAAATCCATAATACCTGGATGAATCTGATGTCTTTGCACTATTTTGGTAGAGAATACTTCACACAGAAATGAAATATGACCTAGGCCATGAAGGGTAAGTAAGATCCAGTCAGGCAGAGAGAATAGGGAAAACACAGGAAGTAGGAGGAATAATAATAGCATAGGTGTAGAAATGAGAACATGATTAACATTCTGGTTTGGGCAGATTAAACTCCAATATGAATTTTAAAACTTGAGTTTGGGGAAAGCATTGAACTACAAGAACTGCATCCTTTTATGTAAAGAGCCTCAAAATACTTTCATTTTTAAATTAAATATGTGTTGGGTGCCTGGGTGGCTCAGTTGGTTAAGCGACTGCCTTCGGCTCAGGTCATGATCCCGGAGTCCCGGGATCGAGTCCCACATTGGGCTCCCTGCTCAGAGGGGAGTCTGCTTCTCCCTCCGACCCTCTTCCCTCTCATGTGCTCTCTATCTCTCATTCTCTCTCTCAAATAAATAAATAAAATCTTTTAAAAAAAAATTAAATATGTGTTAAGAAATTTCCTTTTACACTGTAGCCTCCCAGGGACATAATCTTGGAATATGGTTGACCACATTTTAATTGGAATATAAAGATATGTATCATGAGAGATCTGTTTCCTTCTTCTAGGGATCCTTTGCTGATATTAGGGATAACCAGACAAAAACGCAGTTACCGGTTTCTCTTTTGGATTTACAGGCAAATTCACTGTCTGCTAAAATGTAAATACCATATAGATTCTGTGGTGGCCTTAAAAATGCACAACTCAGTTCTGCTGTGGCAGCGGGTACAGCTGACCGGCAGCCCAGCCACTGCCCGTCTGGATCTACTATTCCATGAGCATGGAGGCCATGTTTCCCACAGGTTGCTTCCAGCCAATGACTGAGTATGGCAGGGGTGCTAAAGCAGGCCCATTTCAGGGACACATGAGACACTGCAATGGGCGACACTGCTTGTAGACTTCCCATTCATGCAGTGAATCTTTCATGGACCAGTCCTGTAATCCAACATTTTTCCTACCCAATCCTCTTCTCTCCCTCACCACAATTAGACCTGCATCACTGTCTGAGGGCTCACCCATCCTTCTGCTGCTCCCTCTCCTTTATCTTTTAGAGGCATTCCCTGGGAACTCTCTACTATATGGAATCCTTTCTTGGAATCTGCTTTTTGGAGAACGTGAACTAATGGGCCACTGGAGTGGGTCTGAACCTATATTTGACTGTGAACTTGTGTTATTAATACACATAAAAATCCAGGTACTTACCTGTATAGTGAAATAGAGGAACACCAAGGGAATAACCCCCAGAATGAAGAGTGGTAAAGCTCCTCCAATGACCAAAACTGTTCCAATAACATCCAATGTGCAATTCACCCAGGTCCGTAAGTAGTAATGGAAACGTATATCAATTATAAACATGTCCTGAAAAAATTGATATCAGGTCATTTTTAACTTTTCATGATTTAAAATGAGGAAAAGAAGGAATATATCATTTAATGTAAACATTTTTTTAAAAATTACGCAGATGTGACAATCTGATGATCAAGTAAGTCTAACTACATGGTCTTTGCCCTCCCCAATCCACCCTCGTATACTTTTCCCCTGTGGTCAGTTGTAATAGTTAAAAACATATTCTGGTAACAAGATGCCCATGATCAAGCAATTTGCATTTCCCAATGACAACTACACAGCACTTAGTTTATATGACTAATGTCAGACTCTGCTTAAAAAGATCCAAACCCCAGTAGTTGGGTGTTCAGAGGCATTGGCCTACCACTATTTACTACTCTGTAAAATACTAGTGAGCCATTCTTATCCACCGAGAACATGTTCAGTGGTCTTTTGGGTAGGTGGATCCTGTCAAGATTCTAAGAGGCAGGAAAACAAAATAATCTTCATTTGCAAAATTAGAAACTGAAAGATGGAAGTGGACAATGAAAGAAGATCATAGGAAGGTCAGGCATCAATTCACATATAACTTAATCAAATCTATGTTGTCAAATCTATGGCATAAGGTATGATCTAAGAAATCCCAGGGAGTAGGAAGATACCCAACCTAGAGGGATGGACGACAACTCAGTTCATGACAAAACTGATACAAAGAGTGGAGATGGAATTTTATTAATCTCAGTCTTGCTTTGGGAATTCTCTGATTATCCCATATACCAAATAGTATAAGAGCATCATATCCATATGAAGTTGTCTGCCTGTCTTTAGAACAACCTTCCCATATTCTCATCCGTTTAAGACCCAAGCATTTGACATGTTACTGTACAAAAGTGACAGTTATTCAGTAGGGTCCTAGAGAAATGTCCACTGAGAGAGAAAAATGCTGAAGATCAAGTTCTTCCATACATTTTAAAAAACAGCATGTACATTGGTATGATGAGGCAAGATTTAATATTCCACCAAACATTTATTATGCTAGGTACTTTCACTTTGATTTTCATGTTTCATCCTCACTTCCCCCCATACACCCACCAAAAATTTTTTATATGTACACACAAATATATTGGCATATTTTACAGTTGTGGGCTTGTACTATCTAATTCAGGAACCACTAGCAATATGTGTCTAATGAGCCCTTGAAATGTGGCTACTGCAAACTGAGATGTGCCATAAGCAAATAATACAAATCAGATTCTGAAGACTGTGTAGAAAAAATAATGTGAAATATTTAGTTAATAATTTTAAATGAGTTTAAATGAGTTTGAAATGTTTCAGACATTCTATGTTAAAATATATTATTATAATTAATTATTTCCAGCTGTCTCTTTTTTCTTTATTGCAGCTACTAGAAAATTTAAAATTACCTATGTGGCTTGCATTACATTTCTGTTGGACAGTGCAGTTGTAGGTGTTTGATAGTAAACACCAGGAAGAAAACCCTGTAGGTAAGCAGAGACACTCTGGGAAGCCCCACCTATTCGCCATTCACCAGAAGTGAGCTGACAGTTTTCTTAAAATGCTTAAAATCCAGTTATCTTCATATAGACTTATATTTTCTTTACTTTCTCAGCCCAAACCAGCAATTCTCAAGCTAAATGTATGTAAGAATTGGAGTCATAGACACCAGAGCACATATGCTTTTTGGATCCTTTCAGCAATTTTCAAGGGTTATTTTGATTATGTGTGTAAGGTGTGGTGCTGCTATACATCAACTATAAATGTCCCAAGAATTAGAAATAAAATAATAAGGAAATCTATACTAAACATAATCCCATCTTTTCAGGGTGATATACATATATATATTTATATATATTTACAAATACTATTACAAGGTACTAAATATGGATCATCATTTTTAGGTATGCTATTCAATAAGGTGTGGCTTTACTGACCTTGGTGAACCGACTGATGATCTGACCTATGGGATTGGTTTCAAAAAACCTGAGCGGGAGGTGTAGCACATTATCCAATAGTTGAGTATGCAAAGTTCGAGAGGCAGCCAGGGATCCTCTGGTGAGTATATAGGCTCCAGAGCAGACAAAGAGACCTAAACACAAAATCTTATCAGGGGTATGTTAACCTCTTAAAGGAATTTTGTACCTTAACTCCCAAAAAGTTGCTTATCATAGCATTTTTTAAATGGAAAATTCAAAGAGCAAACTTAACAATGTGCAATTGTGGACCAAACTAAGTATAAGATGTATATGGTGCATTGATAATAAATATACACTCTGATGGGTTGCCATCTCATCAAAGAAGGGCTCTCCTTATTCATGGGCATAGATTCTACAGAAATGCACAAAACATAACAGAACCAGGTTCACCGAATACTAGCAACCTATTAATTTTGTGATGTCCTATGGGGCAATACGGTATTCACTGGTGCTGCTAGCCAAATAATTATAGTTCCCCTAGCTTCTAGGTCCATGGTAGAATAGCTCTTTCTGGCCTCCTTGTGATTTATGGGACCTTATGAGGAGTTCTGAACAAGTTGAAGGAGAAACAACACGTAATACCTGGTTACAGCACTTAATTGCTGATATCAGAACTGCTAAAGTTTATTACCTTTGTACAGTGCCTGCCAATATTTATAATGGTGGATGGATTGCTTCTTCAACTTGGGTCCCAAGAATAAGGAATAAACCTTTTATTATTTTATTTATTTATTTATTTATTTATTTGGGTCTATTAAGCTACTGAGATTTGGTTGGTGGAAGGGCTGTTCTTGCAACAACTGAAAAGGCAGACATATAAATAATAGACATATAGCTGTAGCGGAAGTGATTGGAAATAGTTATAAGCATCTATTGATGCTATAACAATATAACTATTGTTACCCGCATTTGACAAACTATGGTAAGAAAGAGACAAGCTCATAAAAGAGCTATCTACGTGTGAGAAGAAACGAAAGGACGAAAAGTTCTCAAACTGGAGAACTTGTAGGGCTGGAAGAAGACGTGCTTTGTTACAGTGATTGGTCAAAGATGGATATGTGACTCAAATTGTTTCAAGGAGAGTAACTTCATGGATTTCCGTGGAAGGAAGTTCTTTGCGAGAGAACACTTCCACCACCACGTGAAGCCCAAGAATTAAGCCAATGAGGACAACAAGCAGAGCTGATAAATAGAGTAGTGAACACTTCATCTGAGCACAGGGATGGAGTGTGTATAAAGACTATGCCTGGACTTTTCAGGTTGGGGAGTCAATAAACTTCCATGTTACTTAAGCTAGTTTGCTCTGAGTCATAGGGGATACACAATTGCTCCATTGTTCTCTAATACACAAAATTGCTAATAAAAGTGTATTGCCAATATGATTCTTATTCCTTTGTAAGTATGTGTAAAACAAAACAATGGTAGTTGACCCTGACCATCTTAAATTATTTCAGCTAATTCCTTTATATTTTAAATAATATCACATGCTGCTGTTAAATGATTTGTTAGCTTTAAATATTTTCTATTTTTTTCCTACCTCACTCCCCCCAAACTTCCTTTTCCCCCTTTCAAAAACAGGTTGTCACCCTCTTTCCTCAAATAAACATTCAATATTTATATTGCCACTAAGCATACATTACGCATGAAGTTCACCACTATTTTCCATATTCTTAGTTTCCTATGCAACAAGCACTAATTTATTCCCAAACACTTCAACAGTCAGCAAATCTCTTCTGAATATATTCCAACTCATCAGATATCCTATTATTTCCTTCATCCTATTTAGCCCCCTTCTCTTTGCAACATAAACTACTCTCTTGGAACCCTCTTTCTTTCCACTCTAAACTGGAATGGTTGCAAGATCAGACACTTGCATTCTTCAGTTATGGGAAATGTTAAGTATTATGAATTTGATCATTTTCACTTGCATTTACTGAACTTCCTGGATTATTCCTCTGATTTTCTTATTTATCATTTCTTCATCTCTTTTCAGTGGTATACATATGGAATAATTTCTTCTAATTTATCTTCTCACAGTTGTTCAATCTCTTTATTTTTAAAAGATTTTTATTTATTTATTTGACAGACAGATAGCAAGAGCAGGAGCACAAGCAGGGGGAGTGGGAGAGGGAGAAGCAGGCTTCCCGCGGAGCAGGGAGCCCGATGCAGGGCTCCATCCCAGGACCCTGGGATCATGACCTGAGCCAAAGGCAGATGCTTAACAACTGAGCCACCCAGGCGCCCCTGTTCAATCTCTTTAAATTCCTTAAATGTTTCTAGAATTTTTTGTCTAAGATTGAACTTATTTCAGCACATTTTCACACTTGCTTTGTGAATATAATATTTTGAATCTCTGAAGACACTAATTTGACATTTTAAGCTTCTATTTCAAATAGGATTATTTTATTTCTGGACTCCATTGCTTTATTTATTAGCTCTTATTTATACTGTTGGTTTGATTAAAATGCAAGGCCATCCATCATTATCAGTTTAAACATATGAGATAAACACATGGTTAATTAATAGAGGTATCTGGTGTGGCTTCCTTCTGCTATTGCACACATTAATTTCCCCCAATATTTTTTCCTCTGAATGGAAGGGATTGCTTCAAATTCCACATAAGTGGGCAGATGTGACACAGAGAGTCTGAATATTGGGATCCGGACATATAGGCTGGAGCTTTTCCAAAAGCCATTTAAGGAGGATTTCTTCTATGTAGGCCACACACACTAGGAACCCTAATTTCCTCTTTAGACATCAGCTTTCTAGTTTTCATTGTATTGCTACAATGCCAGTTGCTGTGACCATGAGTAGTGATGGTGGTGGGTGTTGTAGGAGAGACTGATGGGCCAGGAGAACAATGGTCTAGTGAATTATTTTGATTATTTCCATGCAACTCGATCCTAGTTTCTACCTGTGACCATGAGTTTAGTGTTTCTCTACTGCCCAAATGAACATCTCCCTCTTGTGTTATAGCTTCTCCCCTATCCGTTTCTGGCTGCAGGTTCTTCTACCCTTGCTCACCTACCAGTGTAATTGCTTATGTAGAAATTTATCACTCCGAAATCTTCTGAAGTCTTTCCTTTTATATTTATTCACTGTCATCTCACTGGAATTTTGTGAGGTAAGTAAAACAGGTGATCCACTCACTCATCTTAAACTAGAAGCAGCAGTGTATTCTTTAATCAGTGCACCTTGAAAATAAGGTGCCTATATTTTTCACATTGGATTGGAGAAAGGAAGTTCCTAACAATGAGGCATAAAAGATAATAGATAGGATTTAGTGTCCTAAAGATTCTAAGGAGAATAGCTGGGACCTAGGAAGAAAATGTTCAGAACTATTTCTTGTCTAGAAAATGAGGTTAAAATTTTTATTATTGTTACAAAATATAGATCTAACATTGTGCTTTGAACTCTAGTTTCTTTTTGAATGTTAGCTTTCTATATTATTCATAGTAGGCCTGTAGTACTAACATGTGACAGACAATGCTGCTTATGCTTTAAAGTACTCCTGCCCTTTTTATTTTGTGAGCTATGATGATGTAAGTGAATACAGCCTGCTCTTCATTGTACAAGATTCTGTAAGATGCAGCTGTGGTCTACTGAAAAAAACAGAAATTATACATTTTCATTTCGTAGGCTTACCCACTTATAGAAAACTTATAATTACATCTAATAAATAAGTCTTCAGAAAAATTTTAATTTTTTAATGCAAAAAAATTAAAAATGAAAGAAAAATTAGAGAGGATTCTTATTCATTCATTCATTAATTCATTCATTCATTTATTCATTTATTTAAAATAGGCTCCACACCCAGAGTGGAGCCCAACATGGGGCTTGAACTCATGACCCTGAGATCAACCTCAGCTGAGATCATGAGTCGGATGTTTAACTGACAGCTACCCAGGTGCCCCGAGAAGATTCATATTTTAATGATTGATGACCACTCTACACAAAGATCCAATCAGGAAAAAATCCTTTTGATTAGACTGCATAATCTGTTGCCTCATTACAAAATATTTCCTATATCTACAGATAGTTAATTAAAAATAAGACAGTCTCGGGGCGCCTGGGTGGCTCAGTTGGTTAAGCGACTGCCTTCGGCTCAGGTCATGATCCTGGAGTCCCGGGATCGAGTCCCGCATCGGGCTCCCTGCTCAGCGGGGAGTCTGCTTCTCCCTCGGACCCCACCCCCTCTCATGTGCTCTCTCTCTCTCAATAAATAAAATCTTTAAAAAAAAAAAAAAAAAAATAAGACAGTCTTCAACAAATGGTGCTGGGAAAACTGGACAGCAACATGCAAAAGAAGGAAACTGGACCACTTTCTTACACCATACACAAAAATAAATTCTAAATAGATTAAAGACCTAAACTTGAGACCTGAAGCCATAAAAATCCTAGAGGAGAACATAGGCAGCAAACTTTTTGACATGAGCCATAGCAACTTCTTACTAGATATGTCTCCTGAGGCAAGGGAAACAAAAGCAAAAATAAACTATTGGAATTTCATCAAAATAAAAAGCCTCTTCACAATGAAGGAAACAATCAACAAAATGAAAAGGCAACCTATGGAATGGGAGAAGATATTTGCAAATGGCATATCTGATAAAAGGGTTAGCATCCAAATTATATGAAGAACTTATAAAACTCAACACCCAAAAAACAAACAATCCAATTTAAAAATGGGCAGAAGACACAAATAGACGTTTTTCCAAAGAAGACAGACAGATGGCCAACAGACATATGAAAAGATATTCAACATCACTCATCATCAGGGAACTACAACTCAAAACTACAATAAGATATCACCTCACACCTGTCAGAATGGTTAAAATCAACAATACAAGAAACAACAGGTGTTGGTAAGGATGTGGAGAACAAGAAAAAAATCTTGCACTGTTGGTGGGAATGCAAAGTGGTGCAGCCACTCTGGAAAACAGCATGAATGTTCCTCAAAAAGTTAAAAACAGAACTACCCTATGATAGAGCAATTGCATTAAGTACTTACCCAAAGAATACCAAAATACTAATTTGAAGGGATACAACACATGCATGCACCTTGCTGTTTATAGCACCATCACCCACAATAGCCAAATGTCCATCCACTGATGAATGGATAAAGAAGTTGTAGCACACACACACAAACACACGTGCTTGCGCACGCACTGGAATATTACTCAGCCATAAAAAAGAATGAAATCTTGGGGCACCTGGGTGGCTCAATCGTTAAGCATCTGACTTCGGCTCGGGTCATGAACCCAGGGTCCTGGGATCGAGCCCCACATCGGGCTCCCTGCTCAGCAGGAAGCCTGCTGCTCCCTCTCCCACTCCCCCTGCTTGTGTTCCTGCTCTTACTATCTCCCTCTGTCAAATAAATAAATAAAGTCTTTAAAAAAAAAAAAAGAATGAAATCTTGCCATTTGCAATGACATGGACGGAGCTAGACAGTATGACACTAAGCAAAATTAGTCAGTGAGAGAAAAAAACGAGTACCATATGATTTCACTCATATGTGGAATTTAAGAAACAAAACAGATGAATATAGAGAAAAAACAAAGACAGACAAACCAGAAAACAGACTCTTAACTGTAGAGAACAAACTGAGGGTTACTGGAGGGGAGCTGGCGGGGGAGGAATGGGTTAAATTATTGACGAGTATTAAGAAGGGCACTTGTGCTGAGCACCAGGTGTTGTATGTAAGTGATAAATCACTAAATTTTACACCTGAAACTAATGTTACACTGTACATTAACAAACTGGAATTTAAATAAAAACTTGAAAAAGATATATGGAAAATCAAAAAAATGTATACCTTAAAGTAATATTACACTGTATGTTAACTAACTGGAATTTAAATAAAAGTTTAAAAGTTCTGATAAAAAAGTAAGACTTTACAATGGTAAAATTGTGAACATTAAACTTACATAGCTTGTCTAGTATGGGAAATGATATTTTCTCATTTAAAATACTCTCCAAAGTATATTGAATTTCCTCTAAAGTAGTAACATGAGCTCCTGGATCGGTATGAGTTTAACTCATACCGATCATAACTCATCTCATATGTAGATGTGATGGACACAGAAAGATATTTGTATATATGGATGTTTCTTTTGCTGCTCATAATTCTAGACTGCTATATCTATTCTTTCCTCAATTAGTTGCGAATTGCAAGCCAATAAACTTGACTCTCACTGATTCAAAACCAAACACACTGTATCTTTCATACTATAAATATTCTTTATATCTCATTTTAGTCATTGACAACATCTCTTTCCCCAGTGAATATTGTTAACAGAATGGCAAAATAAACATAAATCTGTCTCACAATATTTGCATACTTTTGATGGAGACACTTATAAGCAATACTATGGCCCACACAATAAAGATGGGAAAGGAGAAGAGAAGCGAAGCCCCAAGTTTCATACTTTTTATTTTAATCTTCATTTTATTTTTTTTTACCAAATGCAGTATCTCTTGGTGTTTTCCCTTATGAATATCCTTAGATAGCATGACTTCCACATATTTTTTTTCTTGTTTGAATTCTCCCTGAATATCATTCTCCCTCAAGGTGCCTTTCTTTCCTTTTATAAACATACACAAAATGTCTGTACTTAAAAAATCTTCTCTTTATTTCTACCATACTTTTCAATATCCTTTTTTTCTTTCAAATCACCTAACTTCTTTGAAGGACAATATGTATCTACTCTTTAATTATCAATTGTTCAACCACCTACAATCTGTATTCTCTTTCTATCTCTTTCTAGATGATGCATCTTTGACTACAATCATGGGTCTTTTCTCAATTTTTTCTTCTTAACATTTCTGCAGCATTTCAGAACCAGTCAGAACTTCTTTGAGGCGCTACCTTTCTTTTCTTTTTTCTTTCCTTCTTTCTTTCCTTCTTTCCTTCCTTCCTTCTTCCTTCCTTCCTTCCTTCCTTCCTTTCTTTCTTTTTTTCTTTCTTTCTTTCTTTCTTTTGGCTTTTGTTACATCATACTTTTCACTTGGAAGGCAGTGTATCATCATTTAGAGTTTTCCAAAGTATATTCTATGGAAAACAAGTTGCTCAAGATATTAATGGCCAATACAAGAAGAAACATTTTTTCCATGGTCAAATGGATTTGAGAAACATCAGATTAGATAGAACTAAACAGGTCAGTTTACTGAAGAATATCTGGAAACTTTTAGTGAAAGAAAAAAAGATTTCAGAAGCACAGAAAAATATAGTCCTCAGTTTTCCAGACCTACTGGAGTACAGAACCCTATATCTGTGGAGCATCTCTACTGTTTCATGTAAAACTTTTGGAAATGTTAATTTAGTGGTTAAGAATATAGTTTGGGGAATCTGGTACACATGGATTCAAACCTGGCTCTGCAACTTTTATCTGTAAGACTTTGTGCATAGTATTCATTTCCTCTATTGTTAAATAATAGCTAACATTTATTGCACTCTTGTTATACACTCAGCACTTTTCTGTAAGCTCTATACATATTAGCTAATTTAATCACTGGAACAATATTTAGGTAGAAATTATCTACATTCTATAAATGGTAAAACTAAAAGTTTAAGTAACATGCCCAAACTTAAGGAGTCCCTCATTAGAATGTATGCTAAATGAATTAATAACTTAGTTTAAGCCATATGAAATTACCATTTTTGTGTGTCATAAAATGTCAAATATAGGCAATTTCATGTATCTAACCTCTATAAAATGCTTTGGGTTTCTAGGAACAGAGCAAGCCTTCACAGTATTGTGCTTTTGTGGGTTTTTTTTTTTTTTTTTTTTTTTATCTGTTGATCAGGAACTTATCTCTGCTCAATTTCTCTGAAGCCAATCCCCTAACTGGCTGTACATGGGCATTCCCCAAGTACCCATCATTCACCCTTGTGGCTCTTAATCCTCATTCATAGTGATCATAACTTCTCTATGGCTCACTTGTTATCTCTATTAGAATGACTCAACATCTCGGTAGAACCACAGAGCTATAGAGAGTTAGAGGTTGGAGGAAATGTAGACATTATTTAGTCTAAGCCCTCCATTTTACAAATAAATGAAATTTGCTTCCCAAACTTCCAGATATGCATTTAAACCTGCCTACTGGGAGGAAAAAAAAAGTAGAAAAATGCATCTACCCTTTCTATTAAATGTGCCCAAAATTGAATTCGCCATTGAATTGAGTTGAAGTCACCTGAATTCTCTGCCCCACGTATTAAGACTCCTCCCCCCCGGTTTCCTTATTTTTGTCTTCATCATTCCCCAGTCACCCAAAATGAACTTCGAAACCATGAATGAGGCCCTCTTCTTAGCTTCAAATCACCCATTCTTACGTATGTTTTCACTGCAGTGTCTTCCCTCTCTATCCCTTTTCTCCAACTGCATTGCCATTCTCTGACCATTCATTTGTTTGTTCATTTATTTTCCTTCATCCTTTATTCATTCAATCCTATTCCATTCCCTACTCATTGGTTAGCACTGGACTAGGTGCCTTGGATGACGTGGAGATAGATCAGAGAAGAGATTTTTCCATAGTAGATTATCTCCCATCCAGACTTCTCCCTGGTTTCTGATTTAATCCCTCCAGTAAAAGTCCATCTTTCTTTTTCATCACTGTTAATTCATTCTTAGTTTGAAAAATAACTCTAATTCACCTCTTTTCCCTCAAATTCTCAAAGTTTTCTACTTGCCTTTCCAACTATCATCTCCAACACATCTCCAAACTACCTTCCCACCTCTAGGTCCCTTACTGCCCTACCAACAACCTGAAGACCACTCAAACTGGCTCCCTCACTCATGCCTACAGCCCCCTTTCTTCCCCACCCATGTCTTTACTCACGTCTTTCTCTCTGCATCTGTCACCTCTCCTTTTCTGTGACCTCAATCTCACAAAATTCAAATCATTCTTTTAGTGACACCTCAAATGACAACTATTCCTTGGAAATTATCTTAACTCTCAAATATGGCTTTTTCTTGCTCTGTGTCCTCACAGGTTTTCTTTTATTACTTTTATAGCACTTATTGCTTGCCACGTAGTTTTAGACTTTACTCACAGTGTAGTTTGTAACTGACTCACTTATTGATCTTCATATCAATCACAGGTCTCACATACAGTGAGTAGCCATGTGGTCAAGACTTTTGGGTTCTGAATGACTTAGCATACGGGTCTCATTTTCCTTGGCTGTAAAACAGGAATAATAACACCTTTCCAAATACTTTTTGTCAAGAATAAATGAGACAAATACATTATTTAGTGTGGGCCATGTAGCGGATACACATAAGTTTTGGTTTACTTTCTCAAATACGATGAATTAAAAACATATGCATCTGAATTATCTCAAAATATTTGAAAAATATGGCATAGGTTTTATTTGAAATAAAATGATGCCATATGCTTGCATTTGAATAAATTAGGCCAGAAAGAGAAAAAAGAAGTCCCTGGACTTTTTTTTTTTTTTTTACCTTGCATTAATCCCAGTAATCCATAGATGTTAAGTTTATTGCTTCTTATTTGCTTCCATTCTGTGAACTCATTCTTGTGTTTTGCTTCTTTTACCCAGGCACTAAGCCATAGATTCTGTCCAATGCCCACCAAATTCTGCCCGAGGTAAGCAGCCACACTCAGCCACACCCAGAGCCAGCCGAAGGCTTGGAGGTACTTCAGAATGATTGAGAACTTCACCTAAAGGCAAAATTAATATGGAATTAGATTACTGTGCTTAAAGGTCAGACAAGGTAGATTTAAATCCTACATGACATTTCTTAAGCTTTGTGATCTTGGTCAAGTTACTAACTCCTCTAACTCCCAGATGACTCATCTGTAAAGTTGGAATTTTAACAGTAGTCACCTTATAAGTACATCTAAAGTGCCAGCATAGTCCTGAGTGCTTAAATATGATGCATGTTCAAATAATATTGGTTACTATCATTAGTAAAAAAGAATATACATAGCTAAGTAACATGTAATCCTAATTAAACACCACTATAATAAACCAACAGTTCCATTTAATGTAATTTCTTCAAACTATTATATAGTAACCCTCCTCAAATGAAAAATATATGATATTTATTAATAATGCAATGCAATCTTTTATATTTGCGTGGTTAATAACAAATAATACTAGTAATTCTGGTGCTTACCCCACCAATAGGGATCTTTTCTTTTTTCACTGAGAACTGTTTTCCTTGATCCAGTGAGGGCCTAATAAAGCAAGACAATGTACATTTTGTAGTTTTCAGATCAACCACGTTTTTTAAAGTTATACATTATCAACCATTTTACTGCATAATCTTCTGCCCTGATAACATTGTTCCTTTAATCTTTTCAAATGGAGATTGTTTATCTTCCAATATCCCATATATTTTAAAGTCAGAACATATAGTCTGATTTTTTACTGCTTCTTCTAGATAATTAACCTTCAAACTTGAGCCAAATCCCCAGATTATTTAAGCTAATGCTACCCAGTTGTACCATACTCTATGTCTTCTCATCTACTTGCCTCCTGGCCTATCAGGACTAGCACCTAGGGGCGCCTGGCTGGCTCAGTCCGTAGAGCATGCAACTCTTGATCTCAGGGTTGTGAGTTTGAGCTCCAAAGTGGGTGTGGAGCCTACTTAAGAAAAAAGAATAAAAATTAAGAAAAAAATTTTTTTTTTAAAGTGGGCACCTAGGTAGCTCAGTTGGTTGAGCATCTGACTCTTGATTTTGGCTCAGGTCATGATCTCAGGGCCATGGGATCAAGCCCCATGGTGGGCCCCGTGCTCAGTGCAGAGTCTGCTTGTCCCTCTTCCTCTGCTCCTCCCCTTGCTCATGTGCTCTCTCTCTCTCTCTTTCTCTCTCTCAGATAAATAAACAAACAAGCAAATAAATAAAAAGACTGGCATCGGGCTCATCGTCCCACTTTGTTCTGCCACCATCCTGGGTGATGTCATAGTTTACATAGACAGCTTATTAAACTCAATCTCTTTTCAATCTCATGACCTTCATACTTCCAGGTCCTTCCTCTGCATTCTACTCTGATCATCAACTGTCAGGACTTTAAGCCATGAGTCTTATAATCAGGAACTAACCCACCTTGGAAAACCCAACTCTAAACATTTCAATCTCTGGCCATCACCCCTTCTATTTCTAAACTGTACATTCAATAACTCTCACTACATTTGGTTTTAATTCCATCTAGACTTCCAGCTCCTGAATCCAACTTTCCTACCATCCTTGCTCTCCTAGGCTGATCAATGATTCTGGTTTCCCAGATATTCCTGATTTTAGCAATGACTGTCCCATATTCCAAGAAACTCTCAGTCCCAGGCAAACCTATTACGCCTCTCTTTTGACTTCATTATCCAGCCTGTACTCCATGATTACAATATTATCCAAACTGTGGTAATATTCTGAACTGTCAGGCTCCCCTTTCTTTCCATTAAACCTCCATGTTAGAACTCACATGTCAATCTTCACACTTGCTTCAAAAAAAATCATGCAGCTCTATAAATTGGTTCCACCATGAATTAACATCTTCCCTCTACCTGGGCTCTTAATAGTGCTTAGAAATTCTTGCATGACTCTCAGAAGGGGCCCCACATCCTACTTGATGGAGAAAGTAAGGGCAGACAGGAAAGTCAGTCACCAAATCTCTACATTTACATGCACCTCTGCGCAGACTTTTCTAATTTCCTCCTATAGCAAACAAAGGAAATTCTCTCAATAACCATATGATCTGAATCCCATTCTGTCCCATTTCCTCAAAACACATTTATTAACTATAGTGTCTCCACACTGTCCTGTCAATGAGTCACTTGATGGTACTTGTTAGAAATACAGATTATAGGGGAGCCTGGGGGGCTCAGTCATTAAGCGTCTTCCTTCAGCTCAGGTCATGATCCCAGGGTCCTGGGATGGAGCCCCGCATCGGGCTCCCAGCTCCGCGGGAGGCCTGCTTCTCCCTCTCCC